ACCAAACCAAATATGCAAATTCACGAATCTTCACTATTTGGATAAACTTCAAATAGACCTCCAAGCCAAACACAGAAATGTGCTTGAAAAATTACTCTGCTGCACTCAAACATGTCCAATATCAACACTCTCCATTTCGCCATACATACGTGCACGGGATGTATATATGTGTGTGTGTGTATGTAGTGATGTATATCCACTTACGAAGTTTATATTAAGTCGCGGAACGCGATGATAACAACGGCGCATACGAAACGGTAACAGTGACTCTGGCGGACTAATTTAAAACAAGTTTGAATGAAAACTGAGTTTGCGTTTGCGAACCGACAGGATGCAGTTGGCCTGGGCCTTAAAAAATTATGGACAAAGGAAACAAAAAATTTTTCAAAAAATCCTGGTCTTCAGAAGATATTTCCAAGTGCTCTACACAAGACTTTTGTTTATGTTTTTGAAATTACCAGTGAGATATTTCGCAACATTTTATCAAAATTCAAGGTCTTCAGATGACCTGGAAAAATTTATTTGAAAAATCATTAGGAGGTCCTATGCAATATTCATTGTTTATCTTCCTCATAAAGTGAGTTTTGCATCAAAGGGCCTTTCAAAATTGTCAAATTCAGAAGGCATCCAAATTTTTCTTTTACCTGTCGGCATTTTGGACCAACGTTCCTCATGCCGAATTACCTCAAACAACTCTTACTCGCTGCATCCATGTACAGATTTCAGGATACATGTCACATAAATTTTGCATGCCCAAAGTATTGGCGCACTCGACTCGAGAAGACCAGCATATGATTTATACACAAAAGTTTAAACAAACTGAATAACAACAACAACAAAGAACTCACGTATATTTTTGCGAAAGTTAACAAATGAAAATGCATACATTTTCCTCCATGCCCGAAGAAGGACTTGAAGGGACAGTGGTTCAAATGCATATCTTCTGAAACTTAAAAATCTTATCTAAAAAGCATGTTTTTCAAGAAGTGAGTAGGAAGTTGCAAGATTGCAACCGAAAAGTAGAAGCAGTCTTTGGAACAAATGCAAAAAAGACCAACATAAGCCAAGACACTCTGTAAAAATGATATGTCCTCTTCCAGCGAATGCGAGTATCGATTCGATACCTAGTTTCATTAAGATATCCGTTCACAGTATATCATTCGAATCGAATCTATATCTGCGACAAAAACTGTCTGACCAAATCAAATTAGCTATAAGAGCGGGCACCCTAGCTAACAGAATATAACTTCCGATCAGATAACATAGCCATAGGGGGCGGGTCGAATAATATTAAACTGGTCATCCCCGCCTATTTCTTACGGACATTATAGCCACCTTATCTTCCACATCAGCGAGGAAAAGATAGGCCTCCCGAAGAGTGTAATAGTGCACATACAGCGGAAATTGTCTCTGGTTTCGATTTTGTTAACAAATTATAAGAGACTCCTCGGAAAAATATGTGAAAAAGGGGAACAAAATCGACTCAAATACTATGAACGCGAATGGAGCCACAAAGCAGGGTCATCATAGGGAATCCAAAAAACAAAAACAAGTAAAAAAGCTGTAAGGCCGAACTTTGAATACCCTCCACCGTTTGGAACGAATTTTGCCACTTTCAAAAACAGTAAAATCCGTTAAAAATTCTGTTAAAATCTTAAAAATACCGAATGTAGCTGTAATATTAGGGTCAATACGACGACATGGACCTGCATAGGTAACTTTTGTCATAATATTCTAATACGAAATTTGACGAAAAATTAGTGAATAATTTAGCTAAAATCATCAAAATACGGAATATTGGGAGGTACCATTATTTGGGCGCTATACGAAGACGTGGACCTGCACAGGCAATCTCCTGTCATAGACTGTAGCACCCATTACGAACATCAAATACCAAATTCGAAAGAATTCTGATGGGAAGGAGAAGAACCAATAGAAAATTCACATCCAAGTCCTAGTTGGACTAACGGTGCCCTAAAAGAGGGTATAGAGCCACTATATAGAAGTTAGGTCATAAGTGATCGGTAGACAGGATAACGTACTAAGAGAACGGCATCTGCTATAAGCAAGTTATGGAAGTCATCTGGATAGAACTTCTTCGAGGTAAGACTACAAAAAATTGATCAACTGGCTCAAAGGAATCAACAAGTAATTAGAGGTCAAAAGTCGGACGGGTCCGACTATATTTTACCCAACACCACTATTGTTTAAAAGCGTACAAAAGCATTTTGGTGAGAAGTTTCCAGAAAAAAGTTATTCGTGATGGACTTCAAGCGTGATAGTATGATTTCTTTATATTTGGCTATCGTTAGAGCACTCCGGCATTTAAATGTGAATAAATTGTTTTGTGTCTCATACCATCGCTCGTGTGGCGTAGCCTAACGTCAAGGAAGTGGAAGGAAGAAAACAGAAACGTCAGCAGAAATGGATCGAAAAGTAACGAAGGCCCTTGATCGAAACCCACGGCGCAGTGGCCGATAAATGGCTCGTGAGCTGAACATATCGCAATATTCAATATAAATATTGAAAAATGAGTTCGTGGTAAAGCCATTGAAATTCCAAAAAGTGAAAGAAATTACTACACAAGAGAAAGAAATAGACTCGCTTGGCCGAAAATGGTGAACTGCCGAATTTGGTTTTCTCCTATGAGAAAACATTCGTTGTCCAGCAGTTTGAAAACAAACAATATTATCGTGTTTACTTGCCAAAGAGGTCAGCTAAAAATGTGAATATTCGGTTGGCCACCAGAACTCAAGCGCCGGCCATGGTGATGGTGTGGGCCGCCATAACAGCCAAATAGAAAAATTCTGTTGAAACAAAAATCTATCTAAATTGAACTGATATTACATACATATATAGTGGACACTAACAGTAAAATCGGATGAAGATGTATTTCGAAGCTATATACAAATCTAAACCGATCTCGAGTTTGGCAGAGGTATTTTTGATCAGTACCTGATGCCCTGTACCTAATATTATTGTTGTGGAGTGCATATTACGACACCTAATCGGATGAAACATATATAGAGGACCGATTTTCACCAAATTTGAAATACCTATTTCTAGGATGAATTCAATTGGATTTGCCAAAAATCAGTTCATTGGGGCTAATGTTAGCCATTTGGTTCACAATAAACCTAATATCGGATAAAGAGATATGTAGGGAAGCCATATCTAGCTATACCTGAACCGAACTTGATAAAATATGGCAGAGGTATTTCTGGGCTGTGTAAAATATCTGGTACCAATGATCATTGTTGTGGAGTGCATATTACGAATATGTGGGACTTAGCACTAAATCGGACGAAACATATGTATGGGAGCTATAGCTATATCTTAACCGATTTTCACCCAATTTGAAGTTCTTCTTTCTACGATGAATTCAGTCGGAATTGCCAAGATTCAGTTCATTTGGGCTGATGGTCATTTGGTCCAAAAAAAACTTGATATCGGATAAAGATATATATGAGCGCTGTATCCAGATCTGAAGCGATCTTGACAATATTTTAAGCACTTTTTTCTGAACTGTTATTGATATCTGGTACCAATGATCATTGTTGTGGAGTTCATAATACCCATGTGAGAGACTTAAACCCCCAACTCGAATGAAACCGATTTTCACAAAATTTGATGTACTTGCGTTTATACTGAATTCGGTTGGATGTGCCAAAATTCAGGCCATTTAGACTGATATTGGTCATTTGGTGCACAATTAACCCGAAATCGGTTGAAGATAATATGGGGGCTATATTTAAATTTGAACCGATTCTCACCAATTTCAATTGGGTTCGTCCTTGGGTCACATCATTGGGCCGTCCACATTTTTCAATGTGGAATTTTTTTTTTCAATTTTTGTCATATATTTATCGCATGCAATTTTTTCAGTTTTGAATTGTACATTTTTAAAATGAAATTTTGCATGAGGTAGCGTTAGGGTCAAAATTAATGCCTACTGTTATGGAGAATTAAATACAGGGGTTCAAATGTACCAAAAATAAATTTTCCTGATTTTGCAGTCGCTCTACAGGAGAGAGAGTTAGGGACAAGAAAGAAGTCGGCATATTGGATGATCATTGGATTATATTTAGCTGTAAAATGGACCACGGCTGTTGTGAAAAATGAAACACGGCGGAGTGCGTAAACAAGGATAACATCTGGGCAGGACTCTATAACATTATTTCAATATTGAAATCTTCCAAAATGAATTTGGACATAAGCGGGCTTTCAATATATTGTAGTAATGTAGGGTATCACATGGTTGGCCCCGCACGACTATAGCCTTTGCTTACTTGTTTTTATTATATAATCTTATTATATTGGTTCAAAATAGTCTGGTTGTTTTTTTTTTTATAAAAAACGTTTGTTTATTAGTGGAGAAACATGGTAATGTTTACCAGGGGGTAAGGCAGGGGAGGTTTCGGAAAGAGCTAATAATCCTCATAATTTCCCTTGTTTTTGTCTTGGATATCCTCCCCAGGAGTTGTTTTAAAATTGACTCATGTGACAAAAAAACCAATTTTACCCAAGTGACGAGATCGTAAGCTCAATAGAATAGGAGCCAAAGAATCAAATTAAACTAAAATTCTTTTGGAAAGTCTTCTAAATCTTGCAACCGCACCTATAAACATTTTCATAATATTATTATAAATATATAATTCAAATGTTGAACTGTTCCCAATAAATCTTCTTCCAAACAGTCATGTAAAAAAGGAGATTAATTTTAAAATTTCAAAGAATGGGTTACAACAGTACGAAGTACGATAAATACATTTCATTTAATTTAGGTACGGCAAACCATTATTCATTCTACTATTTGTATCGCTTCTTAGAAACAATCTTATTTTGTTTGATATTTTAAATCTTCCAACCAATATATTCCCACTGAAACCTACTGTCCTTCATTCACAAGTAATGAACCTTGTTGATTGTGTATGAGTGAGTGTGTGTGAGTGAGTCCATGTTTTTATACAGTTATACATAGATTTGCTGTTCGAACCTACCTCTTCATTATTCACTGTCCATGTGAGATTTGCTGCTGGTTTCGAGTGTCGTGATGTACAATTGCCGCGTAATATATCACCGACATGGTAACGGGCACGCATTCCCGTGATAAAAGGCGGATTGTGGGGCAATTCTATTAAAGGAGTAAACAGAAACGTTGCAAAAAAAAAGAACAAACATTACAAACCAACAGAGGCAGACAAACAGACAAGCAAACAAATCAGGCAACAAAAACGACGATGCTTTTGCTGGTCACGGCGATGATGGTGGTGGTGATGAAAGGAAATGTATAATTTTTGCATAAATTTATGGCCAGGAAAAATCGGCAACAAACTGTTTGCCAAGGTACAACAAAATGTTTTTTTGGCACAACTCTTCACAGGCACTTTACCCCACCATTGTCAGCAGCAGGAGCAGCAACAACATTGTCGAAATATCACCCCTTCTCAATGGGCTTTGCTTCAAAACTTACCTACAACCTCCAGTTCAGCGGCTGCTATTAAAGTATGAAAAGATGGAGCATCGGCTGATACCTCACATGAATATTTACCAGCCGTTGCCATGGTGGCAGAATCCAATACCAATTGTGTTTCATTGGAAGCGTGGCGCTGTAATGGAAGTGTAAACCAAATGCGAATTACATTAAATTACTTTTTCATTATTATCAGGAGCAGCAGCAGCAGCCGTAGCCGTAGCTAAATAACAACAACAACAATCCATTTATTTACAATTTTCATTTACGTTAGACTAATACTTACATCGACCCGCACACCTGGTATTTGAAAGACCTTCAATGCCGGATTTTCATTCGGCGTATAGCTGTAGAACTCACGTCTGCCTTTGTACCATTTCACCGAATACAGGGTATCGTCTTCAATGTCATAGTGACATTTCATGGTAATTCTTTGGCCACGACGCACCGCATGTGGTACTTTAACCCGAACGTCACGTAGGGCCAATATATCTGCAAAGGTGAATGAGAGAAAGAGGGGGAGATGGTGAGTGGGGGGGCTTTGAAAATAAAAATCAAATTAATAATGAGAAATAATTTCTAAACAAACTGAACGCACACACACACAACCTTGAGTTGTCTGTAAACGTAATTATTGGAAAATATAATTAAAAGTTTCCGAGAAGACGTCGAACGAAAGTATTGAGTCGAGTAGCACTTTAGGAAATAGGGTTAGAGGATATAACAATTGGCCTTCTAAAAACTATTAAATAATTTCATATTGAATTCATTTGAAAAATATTGAAATGAAAAATATTAAATTTGAAATCTTGACATTTGTTGAAATGTCTTGGAAAGGATTTCCATGCTTTTCACTATTTTCTGAATTATTGTTAATGGCTTACAATGTATTTGAAAGAAACGTTATATTTCTGCGGAGTAATAAAACATTTTAGGAGAAATTCGAAAGAGTACAAAGAAATCAATTATGGTTAATTTTGAATTTCCAATAATTACAAAAAAAAATTACTACTATTCTGCAATTTCTCAATTTATCGTATCAAACAGTAAGGAAAAGTCAAAAGTCGGGCGGGACTGACTGATATGATACCCTACACCATTATGTATATTTAGTAGAGCTCCCATAACAAAATAATTTTTTTGATCATACCTTCAATCAACCTTTGGCGTTAGAGCAATTATAATTTGGTTTCAGAGGTTACTAATATAGGGGAGGCATATCCAATTCTGAAACGATTTTCACAACATTTCACACAGACATATTAATCTTTTATACCAAATAACATTGCTATAGAGTGCATGATATCACTTCGAGATGGACAAAACATTGAAACTTATGTTCCGAAAAGAAACTTAATTTGTGCTGCATTAGCCATTAAACCTGAAATCGGATTAAGGATATATATGGGAGCTATATTCAAATCTTAGCCGTTCCAGATAAAATTTGGCAAAGGTATTTCCGAGCTCTGTAAGATATCTAGTACCCAATATCAATATTGCCGACTGCATTTTACGAATGTGAGGGACTTAATCACCAAATAGATTGAAACATATACAGTATGAAATGAAAAGACCAACCAACCAGACTGCTGTCATATCTAAGCCACTCGTCCGAAAGCTGTTAAAATTATTCCGGTAACAGCTCATTATTTTGTTTACAAGCATTTTGGTGAGAATTTTCCAGAAAAAAAGTTATTCGTCATGGAATTCAAGCGTGATAGTGTGCTTTCTTTATATTTGGCTGCAAAACCACAAGTGGCTACCGTTGGAGCACTCCAGTATTTAAATGAGAACAAATCTTTTGTGTCTCGTACCATCGCTCGTTACCGTGACACTGGTAGCATAGCCCGACGTCAAGAAAGTGGACGGAAGAAAGCAGCAATATCAGCAGAAATGGTTCGAAAAGTAAAGAAGCGACTTGATTGAAACCCGCGTCGCAGTGGCCGAAAATGGCTCGTGAGCTGAACATATCGCAATATTCCATTCGACAAATATTAGAAAATTAGCTCGGGGTAAAGTCATTGAAAATCAAAAAAGTCCATGAACTTACACTGCAACTGAAAGAAAATAGACTCAAAAAGAGCTAAAGAGTTGCTTCGCTTGGCCGTTGTCCAGCGGTTTGTAAACAGACAAAATGATCGTGTTTACTTGCCAAAGAGGTCAGCTGAAAATGTGCACCTTCGGTTGGCCACCAGAACTCAAGCGCCGGCATGGTGATGATGTGGGTCGCCAAAACAGACGATTGTCGACCGTGGTCGATTGTCAGAATAATTGCCGAATATTATCGCACAAATATTCTGGAGAGTGTATTAAAGCCTTGGGCACGCAAACATTTTGGCTGCAGACTTTCGACATTCCAACAGGACTCAGCAGCATCGCACACGCGCCATCCAAGAATGATTACAAAATGAGGTTCATCGCTTCATTTCCAGCGCACAATTGCCAACCTTGCTTTCCAAAATAATCCAGACACAATAGTCCAACGGATTGGTATACGTAGTATTTTGGAAAGCAAGGATGGCACTAAATAATACCAAAGTGTCGATCGACTCAAGCAAGCGCTTCGCCGGAAATGGGCCAAAATACCGTAAAGCAACATTCGGGCAGTATGGGACGGTTTCATTGGGCGTTTGAAGATCATGATTCGTGCCAATTCGAATAAATCTAAACTTATGTTAAAATTTGATGCTATTTCCGACATTTTTTGCTGTCATTCAATAAATTTTAGAAAAAATGTAAAAATAATTTTTTAACTCACCCTGTGTACCCTCCATGCTATGTATGGTGGAGGGTATACAAATATATATCTGAGTCGAGTTCCACCAAATGTGCACACTTGTCGAATTCGAGTGATTTTTGGAGGTCTGAAGCTATTACCCTGCCAAAAGGACACCCTCTTTTCCTTCTATGAGGCTTGAACATCGTTTACCGTAAGAAAACTTCGGAATATATATGTGCTCATTAGTGACAAAATTGAATGATGCTTTATTGTATTGTATAAAAATGCGGCAAACTGTTTTCTGTTTTTTTTTTTACATTTTGTTGGGGAAATATCATTAGGAGGGGATCGATATTGCCCATCCCCAACCTTGATCTATGTTTGAAAATAATATTACGATGTACGAAGTTTACAATCTCTTCTAAAGTTGTCGTGCGCACCAGCCATCTAGACAGGCGAACAGGACGGACGAACGGGCACCCTTGATCGACTCCAAATGTTCTGAAACGGATTTGGTCCTAAGGGACCTAGGTTCTAAAGTCGCTATTTCGATGAGACGCGTCCTACCCGTATCAAATGATATATACCCTCTATAGCCATAGTATGGAGGGTATACTAATTTTGTCATTCCGTTTGTAACAACTCGAAATATATATTTTACCCCCCACAAAGTATATATATTTTTCATCAGCATAAAATTCTATGTCGATTTAACAATGTAGATTGATAAATTTTTACTCAAATGTATATTATGTCTGCAGGACTTTTGGTATTGAAAATGGGTCATATAGGTGATTTTAGCGACATTATTTATCAGAATTGTTTCAAATTTAGTATTTGAAGGTCGTAATGGATAATGCAGCCTAAGGCAGAAAATTGTCTGCGCAGATCCCCTTTTGGTATAGCCCCCATATAAGAGTACCTTCCTATATTGATGATTTTAGCTACATTATTCATCAATTTTTTTCAAATTTCGCATTTGAATATGCTACCTAGAATTACTTGTCCCACTTTTTGTCGAAATTGGTTCAGACATAACTTCTAACTGTATTTTCAAATCGATTCTCATTTAGCTATATCTGTCAGTCGATTTTATATTTTAACTTATTAAACTACAAAAAATATGAACTGTGTAATAATACTATCGGAATGGGTAACAGAAGATAAACCAAACAGATCGATTTTGCGGTGTAACCTTCCCTCCGGTAGCTCCAGATATTTAGAATTTAAAATTTAATATAAAGGTCAACATCCATTTGTTGCCTTGTTCCGGAAATAAGTACTATAATTGTACGAAAAATACTGAATCGACAGATAAAAAATTATAAAATTTGCAGTCATCTAACTGACGGTATTTGCGGAAATGGTCTTATATTTGTATGAATAGAACGAAATGGTGCTATTGAGTGAAGGAATAGCCCTGGAATTCTCAAATTTGATATTGAGGTCCCTCTAGACGAGATTTGATTTGACTCTTGGAGTATGTTTTTGAGATATGGAGGTCGTTTTGGACATTTCGAAAAGTACTAAGAGGTATAATATTGGATGAGTGGATAAAGCTGGAATCCTGAAATTTAATACTTAGGTTTTAGTTGATATCTGGGAGTTCGATAAGGAGGAGTTTTGGGAAATGTGTTATAATATTGTACAAAAAGTACTAAATGGTACCAATTTTTGATCACTGTTGGTGTCTTGGATGAAAAGATGTGAATTGTTTTGAAATAATATACTAAATGTTACTAAATTTGATATTGGGTGAAGGGATAGAGTTAAAATTCTCAAATTTTAAATTGACTTTACTGTTGATTTTTAGGGTTTACATCTGGAGACATTAAAAACCATTGTGCAATGGTTTTTCAAATATCCTACTCGGTACATATAAATACCGGATTATCCTAATTTATAAATGTACGACTATTGCCCCAAATTTCTAGCCAAATATGCCCCAAAAATGTTGGTTTAAAAAAGATTTGCAAATATGAGGAAAATTCTTTTACTCTGTAACTTTTCCAACGTCTCTCGTAATCGAGGCAACACTGATCACATCAAGAACAGTCATTGAGTAGACCCCTGACAAAATTTTATATTACTTCATATGCTAATTTCTAATTCCACTTGGTTCTTATTTCAATTTTTTCTCATAATGTATTAAAAAATGATCAGACGGACCTTTGCCTTTTGTTTATAATCCTTTTCATAATTTTGTAGCCAAAGAAATTTTTCGGAATTCATGAAGAGACGTTTTTGTAATTTTTAATATTTTTAGCCCTCTGCATAAAAAAGGCTTTATTTATATCATATCTCATTTCATATCATTTATAGCATATCTCTGTCGATAGAAAAAAAATTTATATGTTGCCATATCAACAAGGCACAATGTTGCTAATAACATGGTTGAATAGGACTTTTAAAAATTTTATACAGTTTTAATTCTACGAAAATATGTCAATATATTCCAGGAAACCAGGCATTGTAAAATCCGTTTTCTAAACGATAATCGATTAATTTTAATATGAAGGGTAATACACAATGAAATATGCTGACACAAAACATTTTATTAACTTTGTTTTTTTTTTTTAATATAATTTGTTGAACATATCAAAACATTAATTAAGCTTTTCACGTTGTCGGTGGTACAGACATTGTTGTTGTCTGTTCCAAAAAAAAAAAGGGATAACAAAAGAGTATTTTTTTGCTAACCTTTTTGCAGCATCTCCTCTCTCTCTCTCTCTCTCTCTCGTTTTCTGTAGAAAAGTTAAAAAACACGCCTTCA